TAGAGCGAAGGCTGGTAATTTACCATGTTCCGGCTATTGAGACTGCATAGAGTTTAGCGATGAAATTAATTGATCAGTAAAGAAAACTTACAGAAAGGACCTTTTGCCGGATCGGTTAATGCAAGCGGTCCAAGCAGTGCTGCAGGCAATATTAGCGGTCGCAAAGGAAAAGAAAAACAGTAGCGGTTGCAAAGGAACAGTCGTACGACGTACTCATTGCGATAACGAACGTCCAGCCTATTATTACAATGGTATAAACGAGTCTTTTTGACCACTGCTTCCCTAAGGCAAGCCCGCAAAAAGTGTGAGCGGCAATGACGCAACTCCTATATGCAGCGTGAGAAACATGTAGTTAAGTGGAAAAGGGGAGGCGTACCAGACCGTGGATCCCAAGTCTCCCATTACGAGCGTAAATGCTGGTGATAATATGCGTTATGGGATGTTTTTGAAATATATATGAAGCGACATACCTTGGACTGAACAGGCTTGACCTTCGTATAATCGACGTTCAGCTGCCCATTTGACCTGTGTAATACCGGAGACGCTCTGAATGAGATCAGAGACAAGAAGGCAAACGACAAATATACTGTAGTTTTTGTTTAGAAAATAAGATGATAAACTCTTGGATAACAACGTACGCAATTTGTCTGCTCGTGAAAGGAGCCGAGACTTCACGAGATGTTCGAAACCAGGAGGCGAGGGCGCTGACTGTGATGGATAGAAGGAGTGTGGAGACGAGTATGCAGCTAAGCACGCCCGCAATAGCCATAATCTAACAGCCCTAACTAAGGTAAAGTGTCTACTTGAAGCTGGAAACACTCACAACGACGCCAGTGTGATTTATACCCACTAATGGAAGCTCCTTTCTAACCATCCCATCATACGGGTCGATGTTCCCAATACTAGAATTTGCCATATTGGAAGGGGATGAGCTAGAGAGCTTCTAGGGGTCGCCACCTGAAAGAGGAAGGGGAGCAGAGGACGTGTGGAGTGGGTTTTACTGCCTGCATTTTGTTCTTCGCAGGGCCGGCGTAGCGCTCTCTCTGAATAACATGGAGGTTTGATTGGTACGCTTTTGAATAACTTTGGCTTCTAGCGTGAACTTCATTCCATTACGCGAGCACAGCTAATTGGCTCGGTCTAGAAGCTGGAAAAAAAAGTCAGCCATTGACTTTATCCTTCTTTGGGCGACGATGAATGGATTGAGGACTCGTAATGTACCTTCTAATTCAATGTCAGTTCGTTCTGACAAGAAGCGAATACTTACATATACGTACTTTTCAAATGGAGCCTAAGGTCCCGGGACTGGAGAAGACTTCGCTAGTAAGGCACCCGCTTCTCATCCCCACGGATCGCAGCAGCCTAAACCCAGAAGCGTCTGGCGTGGGCATTCTTGATCAGACTGCAACTCAAAGCATCAAGGATTTAATCAAGTTGCAGATTGCCAAGATCTAACATATTCAAATCGGCGCTCGAAAAAGCCTGCCGAAGTTGCCGCTCGGTGATGGAGCTTCTCGCCGTTTTTTATCATTTTCTCTTCTTTGGGACTTATTGACTATTTTCCCCAATCATGCACCAGGATTTTGAATAATTAGTGATATATATCATTCCCCTCCATCAGGCTTCTAAACTGGGCGTGAACAGCTGAATACATATGTACATTCAGATCGTTCCTTCTTGTATATATTTATAGGTACAGCAGTTCTGACATGAATGCTTTGATATTCCAAAATGGCAGTAGACTTTCTTCGTGACGCAATCTCAAACTTCTCGGCTATGTGACAGATCCCCAATGAGAACAATGCCCACTAGTATGGGGTGGGATTACCAGACCTAGGCGAGCGTATGCGACTCCAATCCGACTTGAGGACTTCACTGACAGCCTCTGAGACAATCCGAACGCCGAAGCTCCCCTTAATATGTCGAAGCCGGCTTAGAACATCCGTGGTCTCGTGCATCGGCAGGCCAACGGAGGAATACTCGCTGTCAAGTGAATAGTGATGATTGGCTGGTACCAAAGTAGGTTGTTAACACGATCTTGCAGGTTCGTGCCAGTCTTTTCTGCGGTGCGTGAAGGCAGCTGTAACAGATTGGCGTCGGTTACCTCGAATCTAGCCCAGCATGTCGTCATGGGAGATTCTTCACCGTGTGTTGGTTATTTTTGAGGTATCCATATATTGATGTTTACTATCTTTTAGCCTTTCATATCTTATCTCTTGAACGATTCAAAACCTCTCTTACCTAGTCCTCCGTATCTTATTCAGAGCCTGTCAGTGGATGCTTCTCCCATAAAGGTTCTGGGGCCTGGATTGTAAACTTCAACTGGCGATCGCGACAGGTTGTCGTTCCGGAGCTCCGCGTAGAAATGTTCTCGTTTACTTTCTCCCTTGAACGATTCAAAGTTTCCCTGCCTAGTCCTTCGTATCTCATTCAATTATCCTCGAGGACTTTTAGCCTTTGAAAAGGTACTGAGACCTGTACCAATAACGTTCGACTGGCGAGAGCGACAGTTCGACGTTTCGAAGGGGTGTCCATAACCAAGCGACATTTTTCTGATTATACCGACAGATCCTGTCCCGTCACTGCAAGGCATTGCCACGTGCATGTGAATTCCCTAGAATGTCCAACAAGCGAGAGCCCCGGTTACCAATACTTTAAAATACAGTGCCAAGTATTGTCTGAATCTCACACAACATTAGATTGGGTTAGATAACGATGGCAGATGCGAGGAATATAACTCAATTACTATTATGATGGAAATGTGTCTGTAAACTTCTGCATCTCAATGAAGCCATTTGTCTTCTTTTTTGATGATGCCGTGTGTTTTCTTCTAAGTCTTGGCACGCATCAGCGGATTTGGTTAGATGCTAGATAAAGTTGGCAGATGCGAGAAATATACTGTCCAATATCGTGATGAAAGGTTGTTTATAAGGTCGTGCGTCACGGTGCAGCCTTTTCTTTTGACGACATGTATTTTCGCTGTGAGCTTTCAATCTATATATAAACATCGCCCTAAAAACCTTGATGTTTCAAAAGGATGTCTATAACCAAGGGACGTTATAAATCTCAGGTTGCTTTACGCCGACAGCCTTTCATTCATTGGAAGGGATCTTCGAACGTCTAACAGGTGAGAACAGCGGGGGCGATTCGACTCGGTTGTCTTATCTTTGGAAATGAGATATTCCTAAGTGAATAGAGTAGAAAGGTACACGCCGCATAAATTGCAGATCCTCTCAGAAGCCTTCATGAGCTGTATAATTAATACATTCCATACGCGTTAATGACCATGTATTTCACACGTGTCTACGCCAAAGATGAGGCTGTAACCGTCAGGCATTGTGTGGTGTCCGAGTCGAGGATCTGTCAAAGAATGATGGTGAGAGGAGAGGAGAGGAGATACATGAAGGCTAAACGGACGTACGGGCCAGAGTTACATAGGATCATTCGGGCATACCGGTTTGTGTAAAACATTTTTTACTTCGGCGTGTTCCTACCCCTGCCATGAATATTACGTGAACGAGGCTACGCTTCTGCAGAGAATACAAGTGCCAAGGCTCATTGCCCTGGGGATGCAAAGCTGCGGAATTGTATCTGAGCATATTGAAGAAGTTCCAATACGATAGGTCTCTAGAATAACAGTGATTCTGTTAGATGATAAAGGTCTCATGGCTCCAGTCTGAGGAACTGGTCATCGACGGATAAGGTACATCCCCGACTCGAACAGTAGACTACAAGCGTGTCTCGTTGAATAAGCTCAAAATGTATAACAGCGAAGTCATTCGGAGTAAAAGGAGCTGTGACCTAAATCGGCAGAGATCAGTCGTGACCCGTTGGTTAATGGCACACTTACTATCAAGGGCCTTTAATGCATCCCAGTCCTTCCCCAACCCGAACATCTTCCGTAAATTGTTCCAACAGCTTTCCCGAAAATCGTTTGCGCGTCCAGCCACTCTGGAATTGCATTTTGAGCATAAATCCCCCACGCCGTCATCCGCAAGATGCGGCAGTGCGTTCAGCAGAGAATGACGTGTGTCCCAGGCCGAGCCACACTCCTTTACGTGGAACCAAATTCCCTGTACGCCAATACAAATTCGTTTTCATCACCTTCACAATCATATGTCAAAAAGTAATGCTCTTCTTTCAGAAAGCGAGGAAAAATGGCGGCGACCTCGTCACGCCCTTCAATGAGTTTATCAAGCAGATGTGATTTATCCCGAAGAAGCGACGCTATCTCCTTCCCTAGGCAATATGAAAGGATATAAAGAGCTTGAGGCATGAGGTACAAGAGCTCATGTTCTACAACGATTTTGGCGTACGGAAGCTTTTGTTTCGACAGTATCCCATTCGGACAGAGTATGAGGCAAGGCCTGTTGTAGTTGACGCATGCAGATCTTCGCGAGTTTATCGAACGTATAATCTGCGATACGGAGCACTCTTCGGAGGAATTCCGGCAGGAGAGAAATTGTTGGACTGTTCAGAAGGAAATTAACGACCAAATGAGATATAATATTGAGTCAATGTGCATGGAGCCATAGAATACTTTCAGAAACGACACCCATTCCTCCTGTGTATCCGATAACTGCACCAGGGGATACCTGTCAACCATCTCGCAACCGCACTCCCCTCTAGGCAAGCAGAACATGCCTGCGAAGATTTGGGAATCTCGAATGAACAGATCTTGATGAAGGCGAAACGAGGTCTGTTCCACAAATAGGATGACCATTTTACCACTAAAAAAGAAATCTTCAAAGTGTTTGCGGGTGGGCTCGACGACGTTCGGTGTGGCTAACGCGGCTTGAGGGTGGATTCGACGTGGATCATCCGCTGCTTTGAGTTATTTCGGCAGATAGACCGCGTTTGGAAGACATTTCGGAGAGATGATCGCGTGAAGCTGGAGGGAGGGAGGGTAGGCGATGAAAAAGAAACGCGCGATGTCACACGCAGCGAAATTTTCGCCGGTTCAGTTCTACGCCATGGGTAAAGAATTCGGTGCTGTAACTGCTTCCTTGGCTCAGTTGGTAGAGCGTTGGTCTCATAATTTTCTTTGAGGGTTGATTCAGCCAATAATCCAAAGGTCGCCAGTTCAAGCCTGGCAGGGAGCATGATCTTTTGATCGGGGAAACACTTTTTAAGTCGTTGATTTAGTTCTAATCCATGTACATTGCGCAATGCAAATTTAACGACAAGTCGGATCCATGATTCGTCCTATTGTCACTGAAAATGATGTACACCAAAAGCTGTATGGCTCTCGTTAAGCGAAGATGAGGACGGATATCGATGGGATACGCACCTAAGCTATCTAAATCTAAATCGCCAATCGCCAATGCGTAACGCGATTCCCCATCTTATAGTCCGCAGAACATAAACGCATGTGGTGAGGCCGGACAGCGTAAGCTGTCATCGGTGCGCAAATCACATGCTTCGCATTCGACCATGACTGCAGCTTATCTGAGTCTTTGAATCACAAATACGGGGTACGCGACCGTTGTTGAGGCTCTTGGTGACCGTAAGAAGCGTCCTGCGGTCGCTAGACGTCGCAGATAGGAGGCGAAGGTTCGCGTTGCAATATCACGCTGAAAGGCGTGGATGTTCGAGAGCACTGGGTGGCTTGACCTGAACTTATGGCGGTGCGTATATCTAAATAACATGCAAAGAGGAAAGATCAGGTCGACTCCTAATGGGAATGGGGACGGCGCGAACACACCTGGTAATGACACTCCTTGGTGTACTATATAGCTCCCTTCTCTTTCCAGACGACTAAAAAGGTAGTGGAAGAGATTCAGGGTGATAGTCCGCCTTGTTCATACGGCAACGATGCCTTAATGTGGGTCCTATGTACGGGTAAGCTACGAGTGAGCAAGGAGTAGACCTCGATGAATACGGCTCAGAACGCACATAAGGTGGGTGCGAACCATAGATATTCCGGGTATGTACGTATGATACAGTCCATATATAGAGAGAGGGGCAAGGAATAGCTGTTAGAGAACGACATGAGTGAATCTTGTAGGTACGAGACAGCACCGTGGATACGCACCGTGGAAGCGAAACTTGCTCATTCAGGCAACACCCAAAGAGCCATTAGTGTGTATATAAGATATATGAGGATGAAAGAGGTACATCGTTATTGAGCTTAGCGACGTATAAGGCATGATTGTGCCAGTGGCAGTCTACTGGAACGGAGAATGGTTGTCGTGTCCATAGGCACCCACAGCTTTCTAAAATATTTAGCGACTCTTTCCATATCTCCAATTGACCTCGATGTTTCCGTGTGAATGGCACATTCTTATGCTAATATAAGTTTGAATAGTTCCAACTTTAAATTGTTTTGAAATCTCCAATACATGTTTAATAATACAAAGCTAGGTTACTTATTGTGTAACGTTGTCCGCTACGAAGTTACGGAATACAGGACAGGACAGGACAGGACAAGGCCACAAATCAAGAAAGGCCTGAAATCACAGTCAGAAAAGGAGCGAGACAGATTATGATTGTATTGTATCGTACCTTAAGACGGTTAAATCCTAGAGATAGAGCATACATTTTAATTTAATTGCAGCTCCTCCCGCTGGGTCCACCACATCCGTCCACTACAATGGGTATTGTAGCTACAACGAACCTATAAGTTATCAATTATACGGAGATGAATTTACGATGACTTACGAGCAGGAACGGCAACTACGGGCGCGGCAAGTATTGAAAGGGACACGGTGACGACGACGGCTTTGAGAGCGTAGTGGAAGCGCATGATGATGATGAGTGAAATGAGTTGGAGGTAGGTGAGATAGAGATCTTGTTGAGCAATAGAGTAAAATGTTTCTCCCTTTATATTCGGACACACCGATTTCTCTGCAATGCCCTTACGGTAGTTAAAAGGTACATCGTGACGGTTCAGCTTCGATATTTTCGAAGAAGCCGCCAGTGTTATACGACTCGGCACGACACGGTACGTGCTTTCCCGGTATAGAAGCTTTGTGGATTCCTCCGATTGGGAGAAATAGCTTAATAATTCCAATTCGGGATGGAGCGGAGGGTTAGTAAGTAGGCTTCTGGAGAGCGTCAGGGGCGATTAGGATAGGAGGCGTCAAGTCCCTTCCATAGAGGTCTGACGTTTCATGTCAATGTCCTGTAATCAGTATATATGCAGAACGATTCCGGATTGATCCAAACTGCAACTGCAGATTAGCTCATTCGGAACGATGAGGCATTTGAGGGTTATGGCTGTAAGCAAAGATGGAGGGTTTACTGGAAGTCTGCTGAGTGACGTTAATTTCTAGGGCTGCAAAATATTTCTAAGCGTTGAAGAATCATAAAGTAACCCTCATAGAATAGAGGAAGCTTGAACGCCTCTGAATATCGAAGACATGATAATATCGACACTAATCATACTTTAATCATAGGGGCTATATGCCGCTGGATCGTTTATTTTAATCATAGGGGCTATATGCCGCTGGATCGTTTATTCGAACATATCTATGACAGTACTATCAGTAATATCGACCAGCAATAACCCATAAAGTAAATTTGGAAGCTACCTAATGTCAGGGTAACTTGGATGGTTGTATCGACCCTGCAAGCTGGCTGCTTACAGGGTCCAAGTCAGCCCGAACTGAGGCGCAACGGGCGAAGAAGGAACAAACACCCTTTCAATGCTTCTGCTAGAGTAGGAGCCTTCAGGATCGGATGCCATGTCTGAACATGAATGATGGACTGAAGCGCCAGCCATACTTAGCTGTAAACGGACTTAGAGACTCTGCTCTAACTTGAAAGCACGCGCGTAGGCATGATGAGTATCAACACAGAAATAAAAGTACTTCAATCATGGATGATAAAAAGATATCTATAAATCGACCCTTGCAACGTGACATCCCCTCAACCACATCCTATGTTTTCGTGCCAATCTTCCAATTCCCCTGCTTCCATCTCTTCGCTCCATAAAGCAGAACAGTTCCAACCATGAACATCGCTCCCGCAAACCCAATCGGTGTCTGAAAGACTACAGCTGCAGACGTATCGCCCGTTCCCGCGCCACTGACTCCGACATTCGTGTTTGTCGTCGCGTCACTGGAATCGTTGGAGGGAAGGGTGATCCCGGTGCGGCGTTGAGCCTCTTGGAGAAGCCATACGGCGATGGGCTCGGCGAAAATGGAGGGCAGGACGATGGAGAGCCATAAGATTGATAAGGCTGAGCCGAGGTGTTTGAGGCCGATTATTTCCGTCGTTATTGGGGTGCCTGCGCTCCAGAATATTCCGCCGGATAATCCTAATGTGTATGAGGTAAATAAATGGATGGATGGATGAATATTGTTACTACTAATCGACGCACCTTGGACAAACCCAAAAAATGCAAGCACGCTGAAACTTCTCGCCACTATCCAAATCACAAAGCAACTCAACCCACTGATGAAAGTCCAAATAATCGCCAAGTTGATTCTTCCCCATCGATCCATGAACAATCCCGCCAGGGGGCGTCCGACCATTTGTCCGGCAGCTAAGATACTTTGGATTGCGGCGCCTTGGGATTGGGAGAGCCCGAGACCGGCTGTGGCGAATGTGGCGACGGTGTAGAGGGAGATGAGGTAGCCGAGGATGGTGAAGAAGCCCCAAAGCCAGACCCAGAGGAAGCCGGGGTGCCAGAGGAGTTGATATTGGATGGGCTCGAATTTCCCTTGGATGATGTGTACGCGGCCTGGAGATTAATATTTCGTTAGAGGGTGGGAATGCGTGGGGTGACCAGTGGGGGTACGAACTTTTCATGAGGATTACGACGGGGACTAAGATGACGAAGGAGATGATGGCGTTGATGAAGAATGCCCAGCGGAGGCCGAGTTTGACAATGACGGCTTGGGTGGTTTGCGCGAAGATGATTGTGCCGGCTCCGGAACCTGATGTGGTGTCAAAATGTGAAGTGGATGATATAGATATTTAACAGACCTCCTGCTAGTAAGCCCTAATAATAGTGTGTAAGTGAAGAGCTTGGACGAAAGAAACGTGTCGCCCACCGTTGCCAAAGCACGTTTATCTGAAAACCATTGGTTACTGAGTGGGGATATCGGAACGAATATCTGAGAAAATAATCAGATAATAATCAAAGGTAAAAGAAGAGTCGACGCACCAGACCCACTCCGATACCGAACATAATTCCTTGCGTTAAAAATAGCTGCCATATCGTCGTGCTGAGCCCTGAAAATATTTGCGAGAGGGTGTATACGATCACGCCGATCGTCAGGGGGACTTTGAAATTATATCTCTTGGAAAGATAGTTGGCAATTGGGGCTATGAGCATGGCGCACCCTACGGAAAGGCCGCCGATAAAGGCGAAGTCGATGTTAGTTGCACCGGGAAAGACTGTGCGCGGTATTTAGGGTTGAATTGAGATATGTGAGAAGATTACGCACAGTTGTTCGTTGTGTAAAAGCTTAAGTAGACTCCAAAGGCGGAATTGACGCTGTACTTTCGTGAGACGGTGTACGATAGTTGGGTGTTGGGTGCGCACCTACCCCCATGTTACCGCTGCAAAGATTGTGTTAGGATATTTGTTGTAAGTAGGGATTATTCATATGAACGTACCGTTTGCCCAAAATGCACATATGACGATGATCCATCCATATCCTCCATCTGGAGGTTCGTCCGATGGGTTGTTCACAACCTGAATGTCAGCTGCCTCAACTTTGTTCGCGCGACTGGGTTGCTCGTCGCCTTCGAGTGTGACTGATGTTGGTCTCTTCTCGTGAATCGTGTCCGAGGACATGGTGGGACGAGGGGAGGAGGTTTAGTAAAAATACCAGGGGACATGATGACTGTGAGTGGAAACCCTGTCGGCATCGTGTCACAGCCGAGCTCATCCCGAGCAAAACCGCCAATCATGGACAAGCATGTGACATTTTTCCCCCGAAGCTATTTTCAACCCACGCTAAGTTCTTAGTTCGTGTCCGCAGGGCGAGAAAGAATCGGTTTGACCAATGGGATACTGCAATCTATTATCTTGCTTTGATTTATTACGATAGATAAGTAATCAGGCACACCAGTTGACGGATATAATATAAGTATTTTCGTTTAAACCTTTGTGCCAATATTTGACGTAATCACCTTCAGCTCGGGAGTT